AATACAGAGATTAATATGTTAAGGAGAAGCCAGATTATGCAGGGCCTTGGGTAGTAGGCTGAAGAGTTTGGGCTCTGTCATCTGACAGTGGAGAGCCATGGGAAGTTTGAAAAATTCTGTTGAGTTTAAGGGAGTGCAAAATCTTATTTGCACTTTAGACAAATAATTTCAGTGACTGCAGGAGAACGGCTGGTGGGGGTTGAGGCTAGAGGTAGAAGGAGCAATTGGAGATTTTGGGGAATACCATAGTAGAGAAGGAAGAGGGCCCCGATTAAGGCTGGCACAGTTTAGAGGAGAGGGCTTCAGGAGACATCAGGAGTAAAATCAAGGGAATTTGTTCATTAGCACATTGTTCAACAGATATTTTAGAGACAGAATAAACACGTAGGTACATATATTTGGGTCTTTTGTGCCAATGATGTGACCAGTAACCAATCATTTTTAAAATGAAATAGGGGCACCTGGGTGGCTCAGTCAGTTAAGCGTCTGACTCTTGATTTCGGCTCAGGTCATGATCTCACAGTTGTGAGATTGAACCCAGCATTGGGTCTTGTGCTGGGCATGGGGCCTGCTTAAGACTCTCTCTCTCTAGCTCCCTCTGCCCCTCCCCCTCGCTCATGCACACATACTCTCTCTCTCTAAAAAAAATAATAAAATGAGACCCTGATGAAATCTTTCTCCATTAAAAAAAATGTCGATTAAAAAATATTTACTCTATATTTACATATAGTAATATTCACTTTTGAGGGGAGTACAGTTCTATGACTTTGACAAATAGACTTGTTTACTGCCACAGATAAGATACTGAATGGTCCTGTCACCCCAAAAATCTCCCTTGTGCACCTTCTCTTTTTTAGTCAAATCTTCCTTCCTTGCCAACTCCTGGAAATCCTGATCTGTTCTCTTTTGCTCTAGTTTTGCCTTTTTCAGATGTTGAATAAATGGGATCATGAAATATGTAGTCTTTGGAGTCTACCCTCTTTTATTTAGCATAATGCAATTGAAATCCATTCCAGTTGTTGTACGTATCAATTTGTCCTTCCTTTTTGTTGTTCAGTAGTATTTCGTTATATGTCTGTATCAGAATTGGTGTGAAAGAAAGAAAGAAAGAAAGCAAGCAAGCCCCAGATCACTTTTCACTCTTTGTGCTCTGCAAAATGTTAGCTGCTTTATGTGGTGCCCCAGATGGGGCTTTTCTTTCTCCTGCTGAGCGCTCTCTGCCTGAAGGTCTCCCTCTGCTTAGCCAGGAAAACCTTGAACTCAAAGGTAGAGCTTTGTTTTTTCCCTTTGATGAGAAGACTCACTTCCTGCTCAAAGTCCCATCAAAACCCAAAACTTCCTTGCACAGCTTCCTGTGTAACATCATTAACCATCCCTCCAGCAACCATTATTCAGGAGTGTAATAAGTTAATTGTGCTTTTAACACCCCAAGCCAGGAAAGCACATTGCAAAGTCATGTGAAATTCTTGAGCGTTAGACATCCCCAGATGGCCTCTGGATGGGCTGTGGAAAATTGGTCCCAGCTCTTTCTCATATCTTTGAGAAAGAGTAATGTAGGCTATTTCTATGCATTGAAAATCATATGAGGATCACCTGTCTGGAAAACCAGGTTTTTCTCATTCCATGGACTGCAATTGCACTGCTTTGGTGTTAAAGAACTCCAAATGCTAAGAGGTGCAGGTCCCACATGGCCAAGTTCAGATAAATGCTTTCAAAAATTAAAAAACAAAACAAAACAATAAAATTAACAAACCTTCCAACAATAGTTTTGCCTGGTTCAAAAGCAATGGTTTTAAAAGCAGTTTGGTTAATTTAAAAAACAAAAAGTGTTGCTTTAATAAATCATAAACTTAAAAAACAAAAACTCAATGTTAAAAAATGATATTTGGGGATAAACTTTGCTTATCATATTCAGTTTTCAATTACAAGTAAGTGATTACCTATTAACATAAAACATAACATAAAATAACATCCTTTCTGATTATAAACATACTGCATGCTGATATAGAAAATTTGGAAAACACAGAATTAAGAAGAAAAGAAAAATTACATAATTCCAAAATCTGGAGGTGAATATCTACTAGTAAAAAAAAAAAAATTGGGATCCAACTATAAATAATGCATTGGATTCTGCCTTTTTGCTTGACTTTGAGTTCAGCTCAAGATCACCATGTAACAACATGACTTTTTTTTTTAAGATTTTATTTATTTAGGGGCGCCTGGGTGGCTCAGTTGGTTAGGCGACTGCCTTTGGCTCAGGTCATGATTCCAGGGTCCTGGGATCGAGTCCCGCATCGGGCTCCCTGCTCTGCGGGGAGCCTGCTTCTCCCTCTCCCACTTGCCCTGCTTGTGTGCCCTCTCTCACTGTGTCTCTCTCTGTCAAATAAATAAATAAAATCTTTTAAAAAAAAAGATTTTATTTATTTATCAGAGAGAGAGACAGAGGCAGGCAGAGGGAGAAGCACAGGCTCCTTGCTGAGCAAGAAGCCCGATGTGGGACTCGATCTCAGGATCCTGGGATCATGACCTGAGCCCAAGGCAGACGCTTAACCGACTGAGCCACCCAGGCGTCCCAACAACATGACTTTTAATGGCTGTCCAGTATTTTTTTTTAATGGATCTTCCATAATTTACCTAACCAATTTCTTGTTGGATATTTCCATTGTTTCCAATTTTTTGCCTTGTAGATAACCAGAAATTAACACTGTGGCAGGTGTACCCTATGTGTGCCTCTTAGGCTAATATTTGGAAGGGGGATTCATGGGTGGACTAGGGTTTTGGTTGTGAGGATCAGAGGACTCAATCCATCACCTTGAGGACAGTACGATTTATTATGTGTATCCTTGATCTGGGAGGTGCCTGGAACCAGGGCACACAGAGATGGACACTCTTTCTGGCCCAGAGTCCATCCTCCAGGATTGATTTGGTGAAGAGCAGGAGTGCTGGACATGGACCCTGAGGCAGGGGTTGGTACTGGGAGGGATTGTGCAGTGGACTGTGACCCTTACAAGCCAAAGGCTCCTGCAGCCAGGGCCAGCAGATCCCTATGAGTTGAGGTTCTCAGTGCCAACAGGATAGCTGGAGGATGTAGGTGTTCTCTTTCCTCGGGAAGGTGGAAAACTAGATCCTTGACTCTCCCACATCAGAGCCTGGCTGGAGGGGAGGGACAGAGCCAGAGCCTAAGGTGGGTTGTGGGGTTGGACTTTGTGGCTGCCTCTCTGATCCGGGTTCTCGGTCAAGGCCCAGAACCCTCAGAGCCTGCGGTCCACATCAGGATATTAGGGTGTGCTGCACTGGGGTTGCTGCTGAGCATTTGCTTATGTCGTGCGCCCCCAAGTGGTAATTTTTCCCGCGACCAGCTCAATGGAGATGGATAGCACTTCCTGGTCCAGCCTTCAGCTCCCAGGTCTGGGAAAGTCACCTGCAGATCCACATTTTTGGGGGAACGAGGAGGGGGGATTCTAGCACTAGTCTCTAACTTGCTGTGTGGCTTTGGTCATGTTGCAACCTTTCTGGGCCTCACTTTAGTCTTCTATGAGGAGGAATTTCATGTCAGCCTCAGAGATTTGACCTGGGGTAAGGGGAAGGGCTCTGAGCCTCTGCTGCTCCTGCCCACTTTTGCCAGGTGCACGGCCCAGGATTCACTGGAGCAGTATAGTTAGCAGAATCCAGGGAGCACTGGGTTTGTGCCCTACTGTGGTGTCTACCAGAGGCTACAGATTCAGAGGCAAGCCTCCTGCCTTCACTCCTCCAACCTCAGGGTAAACAGGAACCAAAGAGAGGAGGTTGCTAGAGTGGCTGGGAGCTCAGAGCCAGACCCTACTGGGGGGTTGGAGGGATAGAAGGTGATGTGAAGCCTGAGAGGCTTCTTGGAGGAAAAGGTAGTGGACAGATCTCATGAGATCCAGGGGTTGGGTAACTCTGAGTTCAGAGGGCAAGCCTCTGAATTTGGACATTAGATAGGCAGGAAAACTGAGCTCAAAAGCCAGCCTAGGTGGTGGTGGTGGGGTTGACATCCACAGGAATGGCAGAATAAGGAAATCCTGTTTTCCATAAAAACAATGAAAACACTGGAAAAAATTGTCAAAATCAACTTTTTCAGAACTCTGGGAATTAACCAAAGACTTTCAACAATTCTGTGAGTGTTTATTCACAAGAAGAGGCTAAATCTTGGTAAGAACCATGATCTTTGTGGTCTTTTAACTTACCCTAGTTACATTCCCCCCTCTTCAGCCCTGTAGTAGCCTTGAAACCCAATAGCCCCACAATCCTAGTGAAAATCAGCAGCCTACCAATGACTGGAAGGGGAAGAGTGGTGTTGGAGCTCCTCCAAAGCCCAGTTCCCAAGTAATTGTCATTATTTGACCCGTCTGGTGGTCCTTAGAAGACCTCGTTTTATTTTTTTTTTAAGATTTTATTTATTTATTTGACCGAGAGAGAGAACACAAGCAGGGGGAGTGGGAAGAGGGATAAGGAGGCTCCCCGCAGAGCAGGGAGTCAGACTTGGGGCTCTATCCCAGGACCCTGGGCTAATGACCTGAGCCAAAGGCAGACACATAATGACTGAGCCACCCAGGCGCCCCTAGAAGACCTCATTTTAAAGCTTGCTTTTATTTCACCTGACTTGAGATTTGCTCAATGCAAACAGCTTTTTTTCCGGAAGGCATTTGCTGAAAACAATCAGTGGTAATCCTTTCACATTTCAGCTGCTTGAGGTAGTGATAACAGCTCAGGCAAACAAGAAGCTGACCAAAAATCTTAAAAGGAAAAGTTGGGGAGTGAGCTGTCCACTCATTTGAAAAACTCTGGCACAGTCCTGGGAATCTAAAAGGCCACTCACATGTGTAGGGCTAAACACATGTCCAGGAGACACCAGGGGAAACCCCAAGCTCTCAATTCGGGTGGACCTTGAGGCTCTGTGCAATCAGAAAGGGAAGGCTAAGGCTGAGTTGTAAACTGCCTGCCTGAGCTTTGAAGAAATTTTCCAACATACACACAGAGCCTTTCAGCAAGCGCTGAGAGATTTATTGGTTTTAGGCATTTAAGGGGGTATCTGACCACTCATTGGCTGACTACCACCAAGCAGAGACTTCAGTGGCCACACACAACAAAGAGTACAAATTTTACAGCATTAGTTTAGGAAAGCCACTAACAAACTGCAGCAGCAACAAAAACCAAAACAACAAACCTTGGGGAGCAAGGGTATGGTTTCCACAGTTGCCATGTTATATTACTTAAAATATCCAACTTTCTACAAAAACTATGAGACATACAAAGAAACCAGAAAGTATAGCCCATTTGTAGGGGAAAAAAAAGCAATTGATAGAAACTATCCCTAAAGAAACCCAGATGTTGGACTTACTAGCCAAAGAGTTTAACCTAGTTATTTAAAATACATCCAAAGAACTAAAGGAAACCATGTCTAAAGAACTAAAGAAAAATGAGGATTATGTCTCACCAAAGAGAATATCAGTATAGAGATAGAAATTATTAAAAAAAAAAATACAAAAACAGGGGCGCCTGGGTGGCTCAGTTGGTTAAGTGACTGCCTTCGGCTCAGGTCATGATCCTGGAGTCCCGGGATCGAGTCCCGCATCGGGCTCCCTGCTCGGCGGGGAGCCTGCTTCTCCCTCTGACCCTCCCCCCTCTCATGTGCTCTCTCTCTCATTCTGTCTCAAATAAATAAATAAAATCTTTAAAAAAAATACAAAAACAAATGGAATCTCTGGAGTTGAAAATATAATAAATGAAATGAAAAATTCACAAGAGCTCAAGAAGAGATGTGAGTGAGCTGAAGAAAGATCAGTAAACTTGAAGATAGATCAATTGAGATTATCTTGTCAGAGGAACAACAACAAAAAAAATGAAGAAAATGAATAGAGCCTTAGATAGCTATTGGACATCATCAGACATACTCATATATGCATAATGGGTGTCCCAGAGTAAAAAGAGAGAGAAGGAGGCAGAAAGAATATCTGAAAAGATAATGGCCCCAAACTTTCAAATTTGATAAAAATATTAATCTACATATCCAATATGTTCAATGAACTTCAATAAGATAAACTGTTAAGATTTATCCCAGACACATCATAATGAAACTGTTGAAGATCAAAGACAGAGAGAATATTGAAAGCAATAACAGAGAAATTATGTATCACATACAAAGTTTCCTCAATAAGATTAATAGCCAATTTCTCATCAGAAGCTAGGGAGGCCAGAAGGCAGTGGAATGACATTCATAGTGCTGAAAGAAAAAGGCTATCAGTCAAGAATTCTTTATTTTGGAAAAATAAAGGAAAATTAATGCCCAGATAAACAAAATGGAGAGAATTTCTTACTACCAGACTTTCCCTACAAAAATTACTAAGGAGAGTCATTCAGGTTGAAATGAAAAGACACAGACAGTAACTTGAATCCATATGAAGAAATAAAGATCAGCAGTAAAGGTAACTGTATAGGTAGATATAAAAAATTAAAGAGGCAGGGCGCCTGGGTGGCTCAGTTGGTTGAGCAACTGCCTTCGGCTCAGGTCATGATCCTGGAGTCCCGGGATCGAGTCCCACATTGGGCTCCCTGCTCAGCGGGGAGCCTGCTTCTCCCTCTGACCCTCCCCCCTCTCATGTGCTCTATGTCTCTCTCATTCTCTCTGTCTCAAATAAATAAATAAAATCTTTAAAAAAAAAATTAAAGAGGCATATTTTTGTGTGTAACTTTCCCCCTCCTATCTGATTTAAAAGACAAATGTATAAAGCAAAAACTATAAATTTATGTTGATGGTCATACAATGTATAAAAATATAATATGTACAACAATGGATAGTGCAAAGGAGGCAAGAGGGAGTAGAGCTATATAGCAGCAAAGTTTTGTATAGTATTTAAATTACATTAGTAAAAATTCTAACTGGATTGTTATAAGATTTTAAATATAACCTAATGGGAACCACTGAGGAAATTAAAAAAAAAAAGTAAAGACATGACAAGAGAATTAAAATGGTATGCTAGAAAATACCTGTTTAACATAAAAGAAGGCAGTAATAGGGTAATAGAGGAACAAAAAAGATATAAGATATAGAAAAAAATAGGAAAATAGCAGACATATATCTCACCTTATAGTAATTACATTAAGTGTAAAAGGATTAAACATGCCAATCAAAAATCAGAGATTGGTAGGATGGATAAATTGCCATGATCCAATTATATTTTGTCCACAGAAGACACACTTTCTATTAAAAATGCAAATTGGTTGAAAGTAAAAGGATGGAAAAAGATATATTATGCAAACTAACTGAAAGAGAGCTGGAGTGACTATACTAATATTAGATGAAACAGACTGATAAAAATTGTTACCAGATACAAAAGTACATTTTATAATGCTAAAGGGTCAATCCTTCAGGATAACAATTATAAACCTATATGCCCCTAACAACAGAGACTCAAAATACATGAAGCAAAAACTGACAGAATTGAAGGGAGAAATAGACAATTCAACTATAATAGTTGGAGATTTCAGCACCCCACTTTCAATAATGGATAGAGAGTAACTAGACAGATAAGTGAGAGAATAAAAGAGTTGAACAACACTACAAACTGGCTATATCTAACAGACAGCTATAAAATACTCCACTACTAACAGCAGAATACACAGTCCTCTCAAATGCACATAGAATATTCTCCAGGATAAAACATACGTTAAGGCGTAAAACAAGTCAGAAATAAATTTATAAGGATTGAAATAATAAAAATTATGTTCTCTAACCATAAGGGAAAGAAAGTAGAAATCATTAACAGCAGGAAATTTGAAAAATTCACAAATATGTGAAAATTAAATAATGCATTCCAAATAACCAATGGATCAAAAGGAAATCACAAAGGAAGTTAGAGCAAAATGGGAATTAAGACAAATTGACCCCTGAGATCTTTACAAAATATCATCCTTGGAGGACAGTCCCCAGGAAACCCTGCTGGGAGGGGTCAAGGAGCAGGGGCCTTGTTGAAGTAAACTTCAACCCATACCTCCCCAGTTCAAGACCTGACATGGAGGTTTCCTCTTCTCATTTTGATTGTGAGGTTTTCCAGGCAAGACTCCAGTGTTGGGTCCACACACCCCAATACAGTGCTAGCTGTTCCCTCCTGTCAACCAGCTCATTAGAAATTGATTTCCTCCCTCACTGCTGATGAATCTCACCCGCCCTGGTCCATTTGCCAAATGCAAATGGTGTGTCAGCCCCAGCTTCCAGAGGCCCTGCCTGTTGTGTAGGGTGGAGGTGGGATTAGGAGGCATGTACAGAGGCTGAGTGAAGGCATTGAGCACTGGGAAGAAAGAGGGCTGGACTAGGTGTCCAGTGTTATTCTGTGCTTCAATGCAGAGTGAGTGTCTCTGAAATCCTAATTGCAAATGTCCCCTTGTGTCCAGGGTTCCTTTGATGATGATGGTGGTGGTGGTGATGTGTATGTGTCTCACATGAGCTTTCTCAGCTCTAGAAAGAAAAGAATTTCAAGATTTTTCTTTATTTAGGTATAAAAAAAAATACAGTACATCCCATTCCCAGTGTGGCCTATATATAGTCATTATCACTAGAGTAATTACTACAATGATAGGGAAAAGAAGGTTACAGGAATATGTTCATCCAACTAAAAAACCCAAATTAAAGTTGTTAACCTAAATAGCAACCCGCTTATTATGCAAAAACCCTTATTCTATATGTTTGTGAGAGCTAGAAATATGTAAGTTTTATTAGTAAACAAAAAAATTACAAAAACTAGATATTGGTTAAAAAAAAAAAGTCAGTGTTATCTACAATCTCCTGAAGTGTGAGGGCCCTTGTTCAGAGGGGAACCTCAGTCCATGACCAAGGGTGAGTTGGAGAGTTTCCCTCCTGTCCTGCCCCCTCTTGTTGAGTGATGCCACTTCCCCAGGACATGTTTGCAATGTAATGTTCCATATTTGGCTGAAAGTGGGAGATGCACAGATAACCACAGGGTGTGGACAGGGCAGGGGCCTTGCTTTTTGCAGGGTGTGGGGGCCCTGCAGGGGTTTCCTGAGATGTGGCAACAACGAGGTGCCTAAAGGCAAATGGCACAGTTCTGTAGTGCAGTCATGTTTGGGTTTGGACTTTGGCCAGAGTTGCTGAGGGTCAGATTTTGAGGGCCTTGAAGTCAAGAGATAAGGAGTAGATCGAAAGAGAGAAAGAGCATGAGTGAGTGACCAGGCAAGGCATATAGGGGAGAGGTCTTCTGTTCTGGGAACAGGCAAAACTGGAGGGGTTGTCGATGAGTCTCAAAATGGGGGGTCACAGCTACTCCAGGCTCTCTCCAAAGGGTGTGGGTGTGGAGGTTGCCCTCACCAAGTGATCTGTCACACTTGGTCTCCACTGTCCCTCCAGGATGGATTCACAGTTGCTTCAAAATTCAACAAGCCATTTTCCTGACTTTGGTTGAATTTTCAGTGCTTAGTACAGTAGTTATGGGCGTGGCAGGCCAGCGAGGTCATTTCAGGACCCACCTTCTATAGCTGTCAAGGGGCCCCCTCCTCCTTCTTGACAGGACTGGGGAGAGGCTGGGAGGGGTAGGGGACTTGGGAGAGTGGGGGAAGTTGAAGCAGGGTAGGCTGATGGACAGTTCCAGTCTCCCGTGGGACTGGGCTGACGGAGAGTTTTGCCCCACAGGCCATGCCATCCAGCGCTTTGCCTCTAGGCAGACAGGCACCAGGACCTCCCCGACCTCCCCAATCTCACCAGGGGGTTCAGGGACTTCAAGGGACTATCTCCCCCTGGAAATTGAACATAAGCTGCTTTGAGGAGCCACAGAAAGGCTCTGAGTGGGACCCGTGGTCCCAGGGGACAGGGTTATGGGTGTCCGAGCCCAGACAGAACCCCAGCCTGGATCTTCCAGCATTTGGGGGGTAGCTGTCACTGAAGTATGTTCCTGGACCTTTCAGGGACCTGGAGTTCGCTACCCAAGGTGGTGAAGTCTCTGGGACCCACGAGGAAGGGCTGCTGGGCTGGGGTGTCAGTGCCACAGTCTGCGGGCTCAGTGCCTGGTGTCCGACTGGCCTGAGCTGCCGTGGTTTGGGTCCCCAGACGAGAGGCCCAGCGCCCCCTAGTACACCAGCTCCTCCTGGGGGTCTGAGCGGTACAGCTCCGCCAGCATCTTGAACCTGGGCCCCCAGTCGTTGAGGAAGTCGTAATCGATGTCCGAGTCGGAGGAGTCGGTGCCCAGGGAGCTGAGGGACTCGGCGATGGACTCGGCGCCCTCGTAGCCGTAGATGTGCAGCGTGTCGTAGGGCGGGCCGCCGCCGTCGTGGTCCGCCTCGTCCTTCTTCACCTCGATCATGGCGGCCATCTCCCCCGGCCCGCCATGCACTGCGGCGGGCGCGTGCCGCGGCGGCTTCCGCAGCTGCGCGTAGACGGACGGCCGCGCGTCCAGCGCGGGTCGCGGGGGCTTGGCGCCGCCGTGCCGCACGGAGTTGAGCACCGACACGTCGTAGCTGGTGGTGTCCATCTCGCCGCCGCCCTCCTCGTCGTAGGTGACCAGCTGCTCATGGATCTCGGGCACGCTCTTGCCGTGGGCGCGGGCCTGCTTCCGGAGCCGCCGCCGCAGGAAGATGAGGAGGGTGATCACTGCAGCGGGTCAGAGCCCGTCAGACCCGGCCCCTGCGGCTCACCTGCGTCCTCCCCTCCTCCCAGGAAATGGCCGCGCCAGCCCAGCCTCTCAGCCGACGCAGAGGTTGGTTCGGGCCAGACACTTAGTGGGTACCCGCGCCCCCTCCTCCACCTTCCAGGGGTCGGAGCCAACCCCCCTCCCCCCACCTCCATGGGACAGACCCATGACGACCTCTCTGCTTTGTTTATATTTGCTAAGGTAGTTGGGGGGTTAAGTGCAATTCTGTGTGTGGTGGTGATGTCATTATCATTATTATCACTCGTTATTATTAAAAGGGGGTCTGAGTCCGGACTCTCTGCCAGGGAAGCGCCAGGATGGTGGCACACCCAGGGCGGGCACTGGCAGGAAAAGCCTGGAGCAGATAATTGCGGGTGCCCCCACAGCATCCCCGGGGCCTTTCATTTTGGTGCACAGGGCGATCCCTAATCTTCCTCTAGAGGACCGGCCCCTGCCCCGTTTCAGGGCTGGTGAAGTCAGAATTTATTCCCTTGGGAGAAGCCCTCAACCATCAGCTGAGGGGAGCTGGTGGATAAACACCTGCTGTGAGTGCCCCACTGCTTCCCCATCCCAGATGGCAGGAAGCTCCGGGGACCCACACCATTAACTTGTATTGACAACTCTCCCTTCATCAGCTGCCTCCCTTCCCTGTTTCACTCCCCACTCTTCCTTCTAGGGCTTCCTGGGAGCATTTCTAAAATAAATCACTTGTACCCCAATCCTTGTCCCAGGGTCTGCTTCCCTGGGTAACCCCAAACAAAGCAAGGCCTAAAATGCTCCTAAAATTTCTGAGACCCAAACAAGGAAAAAAAAAAAAAAAGAAATCAAGGCTGTAGGAATCCTAAAAAAGGCAGGAAAGCCACTGGAGGTGAGCTAAGCTAGAATTTTTTAAATTTTCCATTTTTTTTTTTTTTTCCCAAAAGAGGTATTTTTTCCAAAATTGGGTTCATGTAAATAAATGCCTAGAACGGTGCCTGGAATGTAGTAAGTGCTCAAAATGTATAAATTGAATGAATGAATGTCATATATGTAAAGTATTTTAAAGTGTGGGAGGGGCCATGAACTCTCCCTTTCCCCACTTCTACCCCCACCCTTAGGATGCAGGCATCCAGGGAGATAGCGCTTCTATCCCTGTGTCCTGCTATGGAACCCTGAGGCCCAGGGTGGGATATGGGCTGGAGGCAGGGTTGCCCCTTGGATCTCTGGTCTCTTCCTCCTCCTCTGAAGCGCCCCCAGTGTCCCCTCCCCACCCTCCTGGGCACTGACCTGTGATGGTGAGGATGCAGAGGAAGATGGCTACCAGGACCTGGATGCTGACGCCTGCCTGGCCTGCCATCTCCTCACAGTAGGTGAACTCGCCATGCTCGTTGCACTTGCAAATGGTCACGACCAGCGTGCTGGTGCTTGTGAGGCTCGGCCTCCCATTGTCTGAGATGAGCACAGGCAGGTGGTGGACTTTGGCACGCTCCCGGTCAAACTGTCCATACTTGACTGTGATGTTGGCTGTGTTATCTGGAAACACCAGGGCTTCAGTCAGGCTCTGCTATCCAGAGTGCCTGTCTGCTCATCCACCCTGACAGTGTGGCCTGCCTCCTCCAGGGAGGCCTCCATGACTGTGCCAGCCCACATGCAGCCTGGGCTGCTTCTCCGCCCTTTGCATCCCCTGCCTCAGTGTGGGTCTGCTCCTCCAGAGAGGGGATATTTTGGGCAGTGGCTTTGACCTAGCCTCTAAGAATGGCTTGGCCCAAATGTAAAATCCTCGCTTTCTGTTTCTGTGAGCAACCCATATGTCTGACCCCCACCTCCTCTTCCCTAGCCCCGCTCCATTAACAGGTGGTTATCTTTTGGCTCAATTAATGCATTATACCAAGCTTCGACCATGGGGAAAAAGAAAGTGTTTAAAAGTCTTTTAGCACTGGGCTAATTTTGAAGGCTGTTTCTGCCATTCCTGAAAATCCACTAGAAAGTGAAAACAAAGCACTTATTCCCTGGGGCACGGAGGGAGTGATGACATGGGTAACAGGATTTCCTGGGTAGGCTGGATGGAACCGGGAATGTGCTCTGGCCCAAATATTGGCTCTCCTTCCCAGCTCCAATCAGTGGTTCCACATACAGAAGAATCCCCCGGAGAGCTTTTTAAGCATGCTGATTTTCAGAACCCTGCTCTCCCTTCCCCTCCATATCCCTCCCCTCAGCCCCCCTCCCCCTCTCACATTTCAGATTCAATGGCTCTGGGCAGGCAGAGGCCAGATAGTTTGCCTTTTGCAGGCTCCTGGGAAGTTATAATGCTGGCGGTCAGAGGATTTAGGGATTCCCTGCTCCAGGATTTATCTAGCCCCTCGGGATCAGCTCACTCAGGAAGCTGGTCAAAAGCAAAGGAGTCTATCATTTACATTTCAAATGAAAGCTAATTACATTTTGTTATTAAGTAACTATGTCTATTATAATCGAAAATAATAGCTACGTGGCCACTGATACTTTATGAGAGAAATGAGTTTTCTCACTATACTCATTTACTATCATAATAGGACATTCATGTTGTAAGTGAATCTGGCACCAATAGGCTTGCCTCCTGGTTGTACATAGGGTGCCTCTGGGGTGGCACTTAAACTTTCTATCCCAGTGCAGACCCTCTCTGAAGTAGGATTGAGGTGAACATGGGGGGATGGGGTGACAGGTATTTTTGCCACATTGTTTACTGCTAAAGACAGCTGAGCAATTGAATGGTCTGTCATTGACTGCCAACACATCATGGCCGCCTCTCCCATCCCACAGGAGGCTCCTTAAGGATGGGTCTGTGGCTGATCCCCTGGGTCTGCCTCACACTGACCTTCCTCACAGGTGGCGGTGGCTGTTCCGTACAGGGATCCTCAGGTACAGGGATCCTCACTGGCAAAACCTCAGTTTTGCCAATCAGAGACAGGCAGGAATTCCGCCTCGCGGTGGGTGAAGGATGGCTCTATTGAGGCCCAAGAGGGATTTTTCTCTGTTTTTCTCAGGAAGCTGGTGAAGCCATGGAAGCCTGTCTACTTTTGGCTAGAGTTCAACCAACTCAGCATCATCATTCTTGTAAGCACATGCTCATCAGAAGCTCTGATCGGCCATTACTGACATCCCAGCCTCTGGGCTGTGAGGAGTGGACCAGATGCTGTCCTGGGGCCACCTGGTGGTAAGTAGTCATTGTAGCTGAATTAAGACAAAGTTCACTGTATTCTTGGCATTTGGGATTTCACATTTCCAATTTAGACTCTTTGGTAGTGACCTCAAAGTTCATAGAGAATTTGCAGTTGTGCTGAGCATAGAGATCCGGTGTGGAAAGGAATCCCTTGGCTTGTTAGTGAACTGAGCAAGTGTCTGCTCCCTATATCTATTCTATATTCCTTGCTGACCTGAGCATCTTCTGGGGAGTGTGGACTTGGCAGTTTGGCCAGGGCAGCTCTGACCATGGCACAGACCAGTAAGGAGTTGTACAAAATATCCCATAACTTGAAGACCTCAGTCAGGACCTGCTCCCCCATTTGTTGGCTTGGTCTTTGATATTGGTGCTTCCAGACTCCCAATAACCCTGCCCCTGCCAGAAGCCAGGCTGACTATTTTGATGCATACCGTGATTATCTGTGAGGGTGAAGTTGCTGTCCTCGGTGCTCAGGGAGAATTTGAATTTCACATCTCGTGGCGTTATGTCCTTGTCTGTTGCCGAGATTTGCACGACCAGCTGCAGTATGGAAGATGGGGGACAGTCAGTGGTGGTGTTGGGGTGGCTGGGGGGTTAGTGGTGGTGACTTTGGGTTCAGACCTGACCATGGCTGCATTTCACCTGCAACACTAACCTAAATGGTCTCCACAAAGCCACTCTCTGGACCACCCTCCTCACACATCCCCTCTGGGCCTCAGTTTCTCATGGGGATATCAATCCCTTTCCTCAAGTCTGTCGTGCAGGTTACATTAAGCTCAGTGAAACGCCGGCTGGCTGTGGGTAGGAGGTGCTGCCTCTCAGCCTGTCCTCAGTGGGTGTGCCCCCCCCGAAACTGAGCCAGACTCACCTTGCCCTGGGCAGCGTTCTCACACACTCTGGGCTCATAGGGCTGGGCGAACTCTGGAGGGTTGTCATTCTCATCCAAAATTTCGATGTGGACTTGCACAATGGATTCTTTGCCTGTGGGGTATCCTGCAGGGGGTGGAAAGGGCTCATGATGCCAGCCCCAGAGATAGAAGGTATGTGGATGGGGAATCCTGGAGGGGTGCCCTTTTTGCAGGAAGAGGGGATAGGGACCTCTGGAAGAGAGACCAGGGATGGCATTCTGGATGAAAGGGTGGAAGAGGAGAGGGGGGGGCATCAAGCTTCATGCACAGGGATGTTTACTAAAGAGTTACTTGTAAGAATCAAAAAGTTAGACAATGCAAACCAATTAAAGAAGGTTTTAATTAAATTAACAATCAAATTGATCCAATAGTTTAAGTAATTACTTTAAATAAAAGTAATTTATCTAAATCAATAAAATTAATCACAAATAATTAAAAGGTAAACAACGTAAATGAGATGGGGTTAACAAATTAAACCACTTTAAAAGAATGGAATGTGTGGCCATTTACAATGCCCATGGAAATTACATTTAAAAATTGTAATAAAAAATGGTATTTTAGTGCCATGAGAAAATAGTTCTGGAATAAGGTTAAGTAAAAATTCAGGATATGATATTTATATAAATATGATGATCTCAGTTATATAAAAATATGTATAGAAAAATAAAAGACCGGAGAAAGTACACAAAAGTGCTAACAGTAATTATCTCTGTGTGGTGGGATTATGAGGGGATGCTTTCTTCTCTTTTTCTGTATTTTCTCTCATATCTTAAAATGAACAACAAACTGTTACTTTTAAAGTTTAAAAATTGTGTGAATGAGATTAGATGGGGAAGAAAGGGCAAAGACTGATCTGGAAAACATGCGGGAGCCCATTGCAGTTGGGGCTTGACTGCCATGCGGGGAGATGATAAGTCTCAGAAGTGCAATAGGAGGCAGGGGCCCTCTAGGGTAGCACCAGAAGGGCCTTGGTCAAGTCACCCGCCCCTCTGAACCCTGGTGGTCTCCTGGGTAAGGCAGGCATATTAATCCGTCTCCTGGAGGGCAGCTGTGATTTTTCTCATGTTAAGTTTTATAAGGATGCAAAACTCCAATACTTGCCTTTCCCTCTGGCAAAAGTTACACTAAGCTGGAGAACCTAATAGTCTTGAAGTTGGAGGGTACTTCAGATTTTGAATTCAACCCACTGACCGGCATATAAATCATCTCCCTCCCCTCCCAGCGAACAGTCTTTTCCAAACATCCATGATAATAAAAATCATGTGGTATTTGTTTGATGTACACTCCTTGGCCCCATGTCTAGATCCCTGGACCAGAACCTCCAGAGAAGGCTCTGTGTTTAAAAGGTGTCTTAGGTGATTCTCATCACAGGGATGTCTAGCAGGCTGTTTTATGACTGTGCTTCTTAAACTGGAATGTGCATGAGATTCCAATTCAGTCTGGGGGGTGGCCCAAGATTCTACTCTCCCAACAAGGTCTCAGGTGATGTGGTTGCTGCTGGTCCATGAACAACTTGGAGATGGAGGCTCTATAGTTATTCCAGCCAAGTGGTGCTTCAGCAGGAGCTTATAATACCTCCAGAGATTGAGATGACAGATTGTGCCTTTTTTGAAGGAATGAGGGAAAGGAGAAAAGCCCAGGTCCCTTGGCATATGGGGCCACTCACCACTAGAATCCAGTTCTTTGGCCTCCACTGTCAGGTTATACCAGGGGTAGATTTCTCTGTCCAATTCTTTCTCATTGTAAATGTTCCCTTGCTTGGTTATTCGGAAGAACTGGCCCTTGTCACTGGTCTTACGGATGGAATATCTGCCAGGGGAGAGAAATTCATGGTTTTCCATTGTTCTTTGCTGAGTGCAAACTTCTCAGCATGACTGATGAGGCCCTTCAGGATCTATCCCTTGCAGCCCCTCCATCCTCCTCTCACTGCTCATTGTGTTCTACCACCTAGCGGGATGCAGAGTGGTGGGATAATCCCATCTATTTTAGCAATGCTACCCGGGCTGAGCTGAAGGTGGTGCCTTAAGACTCCCTTGGTAGCACTTTGAAAACTGAGGCAGGAGGTGCTATAATCCAGCACACCAGAGTTAAGGTTGGTTTTTGCGATTAATGAAAAGATAGCACTGGGTGTTATATGCAACTAATGAATCATTGAACACTACATCAAAAACTAATGATGGGGGCGCCTGGGTGGCTCAGTTGGTTGAGCGACTGCCTTCGGCTCAGGTCAGGATCCTGGAGTCCCGGGATCGAGTCCCGCATCAGGCTCCCTGCTCGGCGGGGAGTCTGCTTCTCCCTCTGACCCTCCTCCCTCTCATGCTCTCTGTCTCTCATTCTCTCTCTCTCAAATAAATAAATAAAATCTTTAAAAAAAAAAAAAACTAATGATGTACTGTATGTTGGCTAATTGAACATAATAAAAAAAGAAAAGAAAAGATAGCTGGACTGGAGCCAGGAAGAAATAAAAAAGGAGCTGGAATAGATAGGAAATAATTGAAAATAAATTAAGTTTATGAAGTAAAAATTTGAAAAGTTCTTCCAGAAATCAAGAAAAAGGTGTGAAGAAATGAGAGATGAATGTATATGAGATATATAACACATAATATATAACATATATATTTGCTGCTAATGATGAAAATTCCAGAACCAATAGAACAGAAGAAATAACAAAAGATACACTAAAAGAAAACTTTCCTGATCTTAAGAAAGGCTCAAGTCTACAGATTAAAAGAAGTCATTAATATCAGGCATAATTTTCCAAAAGAGATCAATGTTTACCTGTATCCTGATGACACTTTTGAATTTCAAGGCTATGTGAGGGAACTGAACAGGGTCCAGACAGAAAAACATGTTCTTTTTTTTTTTTTTTTAAAGATTTTATTTATTTATTTGAGAGAGAGAGTGAGAGAGAGAAAGAACACAAGAGGGGGGAGCGGGAAAGGGAGAAGCAGACTCCCTGCTGAGCAGGGAGCCCGATGCGGGACTCGATCCCGGGACTCCAGGATCATGACCTGAGCCGAAAGCAGTCACTTAACCAACTGAGCCACCCAGGCGTCCCCGGAAAAATATGTTCTTGTGAAGAAAATCAGATTCACCTGAGATGTCCCCACAAAATTAAATGCTAGAAACATTGATAGTATTTTTGAAGTGAAGTTTCTATACTCTGAGGATTATAGGAGCACATCTGGTGTTATTAACATAAGAAGGCAAAGGAACTAAGGTATTTGTAAACATACCAGAACTCAGGAAGTGTGTCACCCATAGAGGTGGGTCCTGAAAATTTTTTATGAAAACTTAACTTCATCCAACTAAGAAATACAAAGAAAAAGCCTTCTTTGGGAGGAATTAAGATGAAATGATTTATTTCTTTATCATACATAGGAAAGCAATTGTGTGTCTGTGTGTGTGTATATGTGTGATATTTTAAAGTAGAAAATGTCCAGGAAAACATTTTTAATTTTACAGGTAGAAGTCAGTCTCATTGGTAGAAGTAAAAATGAATGTATTCCATTCAAACATCCAGGAGAAAAAAAATGAAAACAAAATAGAGTCTATAGCAAATATGGGGGAAAAGAAAAAAACCATAAAGTTTGAGAAATGAGAAATGTGTAACAAGATAAAAAAAGTAAGATCAAGCATATCATTTATGATACAAATGTAAATAGGTTAAACCCAAAGCATCTCAGTTTAGATTAAAAAGCAAAACTAACTACCTTCTATTTTCGAGAGACAACTTAATGCCAAGTGAAAAGCAGAAGTTAGAAAAGTTGAAAGTACAGGTTGGAAAACTTCTATCAGGCAAAGATAAGTAATAAGAAAATAGGACCGGCAAACTTGACATCAGGCAGTGTGGAGCTAAAGGTAAGGTATTTAGCAGAACAAATTGGGTAACTTCATAGGGATAAAAGTTACAAGTCATAATGAAGGTAAAATAGTTATGAACCCTTGTGAATAGAAAAATTAAAATATATAAAGCAAAATCTTAGGTATTCTAGAAAAAATGAATGCAAACACAGTTGTATTGTATCCCAGAACAAGTTAAAGCAAAAACAAAAAATACCCTACCACTGGTAAATGGAAAGAAAAACATCAAATCAATCTCTTAAATAAATTCTTGGATCAGTAAAGAAATAAAAATTATCATTACAGTCTATTTACAATAGAACGGCCATGAAAACTGTAGTAGTCCCAGAGCTTGTGTGATGTGGCCCAAATTTCCATTTTTGGGGACATGTTTTTTGACCATAGTAAGAAGACCTAATATCATAGAAATACTAATTCTCCCTGAATTGGTATAACACAATTCTCATTAGAATTCTAATTTTTTTTTAAAACAGATAAAATAATTTTATAATTCATATGAAAGAGTGAATGTTTGAGAATGCATAAAAGCTGTAGAAAGTAAAAAAACAGTGAGGGAGGGACTTGGCTTATATCTGCTAAGTTTTAGTATAAAGCTGCTGCAATAAAACAGAATGGCTTTGCCACAGAACAGTGGACAGAATAGAGGATTCAGAAATAGATTCGTGTATATTATATAACAAAGGTGGGAAAATGAGGACTTAATAAATGGTCCTAGCACAATTGGTTACCCCTCTGGAATAAAATGAGATTGGATTAAAATCAACTGCTACATGGCTCTAGAATGTATGAGTTAGATGAATATTTTTGGTCCCAGAGGGTAGGGGCAAGGAGTCTAGTGGAGATAGAACAGGTGGTGATAAAATGGGTGTGGTGTGATCCAAAACATTTTTTTTTTAATTTATTTTTTTTTAATTTTTTTTAAAGATTTTATTTATTTATTTGAGAGAGAGAGAACGAGAGACAGAGAGCAGGAGAGGGAGGAGGATCAGAGGGAGAAGCAGACTCCCCGCTGAGCAGGGAGCCCAATGCGGGACTCGATCCAGGGACTACAGGATCATGACCTGAGCCGAAGGCAGACGCTTAACCATCTGAGCCACCCAGGCGCCCCAAAACATTTTAAAAACAATCAAAACCTCCGAACAGATAGACAGACAGACACAACAAATCCCCCATGAATGTACATAGATGTTTGTGTAGTCATGAAGAAAAGGTGTGACAGGACCACCTCAAACCATGAACATGAGTGGGGTTTATTGATGTTTTCTTTGTCGATCTTTGTGTTCTTTCACTGTGAAATGAACACTTTCTCCTTTTGTGGTTTTGGGAAGGCAAATTTAGTAAAACATATTTAGTGGAGGGGTTTCTCAGTTGGTTACCCTCTTGGCCATCCGATCTCCCTAGATGGACCTGTGGGAGCCGCTGTAAGGTAGAGCAGCCCTGGACAGTTCTAATGGCCAGGACCATGCTGGGTGGGGTGCCTGGGCAAGACAGGATCCCACCTGGCCCCTCGCGTCAGTGGAAGAGCTTGGGCTTCTAGTCCTGCCTCTGCCATGTCCCATGTATGTGCCAGGAGAAGCCATTTTCCCCATTTGAGTCCTGGTGTCAGTCCAGCAAGTGTTAAGAACCTCAATGCCGGGATCGTCATGGTCATCACCACCCTTATGCCCTCTACCCGCTTACCCAATGCTCCGCCGAGCTGCGTCAGGGTCTGTGGCCAGCACTGAGCCAATCAGAGGTTTCTTCTGGTTCTCCCGCAGCTGGAAGTGGTAGAAGGACTGCTTGAAGATGGGGGGCTCGTCCACATCTGTGACGTTGATGATGACACGGGCGGTTTTTCGGATGGAGACGCTGCTCAGGTAGTGGAGGTTGATGGTGGGGTCTGTGGCCTCTATGGTGAAGGTGTATTGCTGAATGTATTCGTAGTCCAGGGGCTGTGGAAGGGACAAATATGGCGAGTACCTGCTCTGAGCCAAGCATGTGACATGTGATCTTCATAGCAACCCCACAAGTTTTACAGATGGGTGGGGTAGCTGTGGCCCAGAGAAGCGGTGTTTCCAGGGTCATCAAGAGGAGGGAAGGGGAGAGCGGCTGGGGCTCGCTGGCTATCTTCGGCTGCCCCCCCCCGCCTCCACTGCATCTCAGCAGCCTCGGGGCTGCCTCCCAACCCTAGCTCTGTGACTGGCCCTGTTCCAAATGTTGAGGACACCCAGTGGGTAAGCCACAGTCCTGCTCTCTAGGGGATCACAGCTAGTCGTTCTATCCACAGCTCCTTAACAATGTGCCTTTTCCTTATGTCTTTGCTCAAGATGCTTCTCCTGCCTTTGCCCACTTAGCACACTCCTACTCACCCCTCAAGAAGACAGATCCGAAGGTAATCACATCTTCCAGAACCTGTCCTGCCCCCCTGACATAGGCAGTTGCTCCCTGCATGGGTAGCTGGAGCACTTACGTGTGGCTACCCTGTTGGTCTATGCGTGTCTTCCCCACTCACTGGGAGCTTCGGTGCTGTGGAGATTGTATGAGTCCCCTGGGTGCCTCCAGTCCCCAGTGCAGGACTGGAGCAGGGACAGCCTCAGGAGAGTGCTCCTGGGGGAATGGCCCAGTTCAGGCAGGGGGGTTCTAGAATGTCCCCTTTGAGATGGGTCATCCCCGGCCCAGGTAGCCCCAGTCCTCGGCATGGCCATTCTAGAGGCATTTTGTGTCCCTTCCCTCCTCTTCAAGATACAGTTGGTCTGACTGCTTTGTCTGCAGTAGCCACTGCCAGTGGCCACCCCCACCCCCACAGCACTCATTGCTTCCTTCCCTGCCATGGCTCTCTGCTGCAAATGCCTATAACACTACCGGGGCTCTCCGTGACGCGGGTGCCCAGGGCAGGCCAGAAAGTGCAAGAGTGAAAGCCCCCTGGAGCCCTCAGCCAACCCCACAGCTCCCTCCCGCTCAGCTCCTGCAACTCTGAGGCCTATTCCACACCATCCTCAGATGTCCCCGGTGGGACTGTGCCCCCCTTGCCCGCAGTGATAACCTGATAGTTAGGGAGCCTGTGTTCTTCCCTTTATGTGGCACTGCTCCTGGGGCGTCACTTCCCAAGTAAATGATTTACACCCAAATCCTTGCCTTAAGGTCTGCCTCTGGGGTAACCCAGCCTAAGGCACTGACCCTTCTCTCCTGGCTCCCCTTTCCCAGCTCTGGGGTCACAAGCTCTAAGAGTGCAAGGCTAGCTCTGAGCTGACCCAGAATGGACACCTTTGATGGCCTCTGACCTTGTGGTAGCCCCTGGATGAGTCCTGGGAATGTGGGGAGCCCCAAACCCCACATCTAATGTCATCGCTGCATGCCTACAAACCTTCATGGGCTTGATGATACCCTCGTTGTGGTTGGGGTCCGTCTCGATGGTGAAGGTGTCCCTGTATTCACCTTGCACGATGCTGTACTTGGTCATCCGGTTCTGGGGCTCGTCTGGGTCCTCAACGAACAGAGAGCCCAGGGAGCTGCCCACACGGATGTCTTCAGGCACGGAGAATGTGTACTTGGCTGATGCAAATAGGGTGCCCCCAAGGGCATTGGGTTAATGAGATAGACCCTTATATTATCCTAATACATTTTTATACAGGAAATGGGCACAATAAAATAATAATAATAGTAATACAACCTCTGGAATTTGGGGTCCCAAGGCAAAGAGGTTCTGCTCTATCCGTCCTATCTGTCCATCCATTTAACAAATAGTAATTGAGCACCTACTGTATGCTAGGTACTCTGCTAGGGGACCTATCATTTGACAAGAGAGACAAGTTCTACCTTTAGCGAGCTTCTGTCATGTACTACAGTGAGGCCACTTCAGGCTGTCCTTGGGGTGGCTGAGCCTCTGAATTACACCTCAGCACTGGAGGGTATAAATGATGAACCGTCTGACTTTCCTCCCCAGCCCTAACCAAGGCATGGGAAAAGCTCTTGTCAGACACTTTTTGTGGGGAGAGACTCAAGTCTGTGGGTGGGCTCAGGGCCCAGCCTCAGCTCTGGATATGGAATTTTGCCATACCCCTGTTCACCAGCTCACAGGGATTTTCTAGCTAGGGCCTGGATTTTTCTGAGTCTGTAGAAACTGGGTGAAACTATTCCTCTCTGGTAGTGGGATTCAGGGCACGGTGGTGGCACACAGCAGGGAGCATGATTTCCCTGTGGCCTGTGAGGGCACTGTGGCAGGTGGCATTTGGACAGCCTTGGGAATGTGTGCAGGGATGGGGAGCAGAGCCTCTGCCTGCAGGAGGGCCTTTGGACCCACCCTGGGGTCAAGGAACAGAGGGACACTGGGCTTCTCCACAAGATCCCCCAGGTCACTGAATCTGTATTCTCCCAACCCCCATCCTCCCCAGGACCCTGGGGGAAAAGCTCACGCTGGGTAAAGATGGGGAAATTGTCATTGATGTCCTGCAGAGTGATCAGCACCGTAGCTGTGCCTGACTCCCCACGGAGGCCCTGGGCATCTCGCGCTTCCACCACGATTTCATACTTGGCCTGCACCTCTCGGTCCAAGGTTTTGGTTGTCGTGAAAATGAGTCCTGCAAAAAGTGTGCCAGCAGCAGACATGTTACTTGGAGGGCTTTTAGAAAATACTGGTGCCTGGGCCCTATCCGGAGAGCACTCCCTGACTTAAAAGCTCCCCAGGTGATTCCACTGTGCAGCCAGGGCTGAGAACTGATGCCCAACCACCCCCACCCCCTGCCCCTGCTTCATACCCTGCTCTGCTGGACCAAAGCTGCCCAAACAGTTTGGTCCAATATTGGTCCTAGCTGTGTGGAGCGTGGTGTTGAGAAAGAGTGTGAGGCCACAGCTAGGCTTAGTGTGGAAAGCTATGATGGATTAGTGATGGCCTGCCTAGGCACGTCATCGGTTGGGGTGGTCTCTTTGCTTTGTTGTACTTGCCATCCTTCTGAAAGACAGTGTGCCCCAGGCCTGACCACCTGGACTTCTCTCTTGCTCCCCAAACTCGGTCCTTACGGTTTTTAAAGTTACACTGAGTGGATACTTACTATGGGCCATGTATTCTCTATATTTTATTTCATTTAAGCTTCACAGCTGCCATGCAAAATGGATACACGTTTTCCCATCTTCAGGATGAGGTAACTAAGGCTCGCAGAGGTTAGTTGACTTGCCTAAGGTCTTTGGAGGGAGTGAGTAGCAGGAGTGGGTTTGGAAACTGGATTGGTCCTACTCTACACCCAGAGCTGCTAACCAGCATTCTCTTCTGCTTCTTGTGTCACAGCTTGGGTCCTGGTTTATTTCCGGGACTGGAGCCCGTGTTTTGGCAGCTGTCTGCTTCCTTCTCCCCTCATCAGCCACCTTGTCCTAATGGGTAGAAGCAACTGTTTCCATAGGATAGTGTGGTTGGGTGATAGGTGACACCTGTCAGACTAGACTTTGCTCAGCTGCTGCACATGGAATATCCACCCCTACCCTGCTCCAAGCCAGGGCCTGCCCCGGAGCGTTAGTAACACAGACCGGAACCATCAATAGCAAAATATTCTTCTCCCTTCAGGATTTGGTACATGACAGAGGCGTGGTCTGCCACAGTAGGGTCATCTGCATCAACTGCTGTCACACGGATGACGGAGGTCCCTGAGGAAAGAGAATCCGGGGGTTACTGCCTTGGGACTGCTGGCCCCTTGCCCCATTCCAGCTGAGGACAGGTGGGGCCCAGGCTGCTCCCTTAACCCAGCTCCCCCAGGTCCCGGGGGGTAGAAAAGGCTGTGTCGTGGTCTGAGGAGCCTGCATGGGGGCAAAGTGCACATACCCACGGCCGACATCTCTGGCACAGAGGCGTTGAACAACCGGTGTGTGAACACAGGCCAGTTGTCGTTCACGTCGTGAACTTTGATGGTGAAGCTGGACGGAGACTCTAGGTTCTTGTTGGTATTCTTGTCTACCACAAGGGCAGTAAGGTGGTACTCCGGGATCTTCTCCCTGTCCAGCCTCTCAAAGGCATACACGTCGCCTGTGTCCTCTCTGACCCGGAAGACCTTGCCCACAGAGTCTCCTCTGAGCACATACTTGGTGTTCTTGTGGTTCACGCTCGATTTGATCTAGGAAAGAAGAGGCGCCGTGAGCTGAGGATGGGCAGAGGTGGCTGTGTGCGTGTGTCGTTGTGCACGCACACATGTGAGCATACAAGTGTATGTAGGTACGTGGTGTGTGCATGCACACCTGCATGTTTGTGCACGTGTGTGGACACGTGTGTGGTGCTGGCCACGGATCCTAAGTGTGGCACCTGCTTCTTTCACAAGCGTCTCTGACTGGTCATTAGCACGCGTTGCTCTCAGCCAGGTCCCTGCGAACACCACATTTGTGGGACTTGCCCAGCACGCTGCCCTCGTAGGCCTAGAGCAGCGCTTGGAATGTCGCAGGTGCTTGCAAAAAGATTTGCTTGGTGCCAATGGAAGGCGAGGGGTATTTTGCCCCTTACTAGTCACTTCAGCTCTTAAGCTCTCTGAGTTGTGGTAACCTCATCTGTAAAGTGGAGATAATATCGCTTCTGATGGGCTGCTCTAACGGGCAGAATGATGGCACTTTTGAAAGTCAGTTCCAGGAAACACTGGTGTCTTTTGTTGTTCCACACGAAAATTTGGGCCCATTGAGCTGGGAGATGGCTTGCACCGGCCAGCCAACTTACATTTTTAGGAATGTCTGTGAGCTGCTTGTTAAGCACAGCCATTATTACAAATCCATTTATATCAACGTATCAATTAAATGAATCCTATTAAAAACACAGGTAGCCTACTCAAAGTTCATTGCTTCCTCGTGATTGTACTATATTTTACTATGTTCTTGAGGTTATGTATATGTTGAATGATGGAAATACCACACAGTGCGGTGTTAATATGTATCTTTTCACAACTCTGCCTTCAGTGCCATCAAGTAGGGAGCTTGAAACAGACATGGTGAAAGTATTTCCACATGGAAATGAGCAAATGCTATGAATCAGGACTTCTTCTCCTGGAGAACCAGTTGTCAAACATTTATCAGCACACTACTGGTTCCGGTCAATTTAGTTTTGGAATGGTACATAAAATGTTCTCTTCTTGGAGATTTACAATGCATAGCCCTATAGAAAAAAACTCGAATGAGCTTTAACTCAGGATTTCCCATTGCAATAAGAATACTTTTTGTTTGTAACATATACTATTAGTGCCCTAAGGATCAAGATTTATTCATTTTTTAAAATAAATTTTAAAAATATTTTATTTATTTATTTATTTGAGAGAGAGTGAGAGAGACAGAGAGCACGAGATAGGGGAGGGTCAGAGGGAGAAGCAGACTGCCGGCTGAGCAGGGAGCCCGCCGCGGGGCTTGATCCCAGGACCCTGAGGCCATGACCTGAGCTAAAGGCAGATGCTTAACTGACTGAGCCACCCAGGTGCCCCAGGAACAAAATTTAGAAAAAGATTTGAAAGCTAATGTACGTAAAGCAACTTACACAGGCTTTCAATAAATACCTGTTATTATTCATGGTAGATGCATATGTTAAAAGATACTAGGTTAGAAGTGCTAAACGTTTCATTTATAGAATCTTAGAAACAGAGACACTTAGGAATATAAGAGAATCCTATTTCATGCATGTAAAGTGGTACTCCCATGGATGGTTAGAATGTTCAAAAAATATAGTTCAATTCAATTCAAAGTATATAAATCGGATGCCTATAAGGTGCCAAGCAGCACACTGGAAGCACAGAGGTAAGCCAGACCCTGTTCCTGCTCTCAGGGCTGAGACTCTGAGGAAGGGCAATACGTAAGGGTCCAGGGAGCAAGAGCCTGAGTGAAGGTGTCTGATGAGGAGAACCGAGAAAGAGTGGGTCTCAAGACAGGAGGGGGAGCGTCAAGAAGGGTGTGGTCAAATCCCGTGAGTCTGGAAGACATCCCTAGGGTTGAGCAACAGTGCAGACCCTGGAGCCCTTGGTGAGAGCAGCACTGGGGTGAGGGGAGGTGGGGTGGGAAGGCAGATGACAGGGCTTGGAGAAGACTCTGCAAGGTGAGGAAGTGGGGACCAGAAGTGAGGACCCTCTGCTTTGGGTGGGGCAGGGCCTCGGTGTGCTGGGGCCAGGCGGGTTCATGAGGGGGTCCCAAGACCCAGGGGCCAGGACATATGATGAACAGTGGGTCAGGAGGCAAGAAGCAAATGCCCCAGCTCTGCAACCTGTGGCTTGGGGGGAACAGTGGGGATTCAAGGAGAAGGGACAGTCTGGGACTCTGTGTGAGTTGCTTAGGGTTCGTTGGTAGTTCCAAACTTGGTTCTGCGGGGCGGTGTGTGTTAGGACCCACATGGGCAGGGGTAGTGATGGGGCCTGACTGAGCTTTGACCTATTTTATTGGAATTCTGCATAAGATTCCATTTGAATATAAGCTCCGTCCCTTGTGCTCACTTCGGCGGCACGTACACTAAAAAGCTCCTTCCCTCCAACATTTAAATTTTTCGAATAGTTTTAGATTTATAGAAAAATCGAGAAGATAGTACAGAGTTGTCATGCATCCTGCTCCCAATTTCCATGATTATCAACATTTTATGTTAGTATGGTACCTTTGTTATCATCAGTGGGCCAATACTGATACATTTGTAGTAACTGGGGTCCATTGTTCATACAGATGCCCTCAGTTTTTGCTTCATGTCCTCTCTCTGCTCTAGGAGCCCATCCAGGACACCCCCATTACATTTAGTCATCACTTTGGGCTCCTCGTGACTATGATAGTTTCTCAGACTTTCAGTGTTTTTGGTGAGTACTGATCAGGTGTTTTGTAGGATGCTTCTCTATTGGAATTTATCTGATATTTTTCTCATAATCAGACTGAGATTATGGGTTTCTGGGAGCCCCCCTTTTTTAAAATTATCACTATATTTGGATATAACATCTTAATGCTGAAAGCCATGCTGACCCATATTTGTGGATTCGGAAGGCTGCTCAGAGCTCACTCCCATTGTCCAACCAGTCTGTAAACAAAGGCTCCGGACAGTGGCCTTGATAAACAGGGATTTCCTTCCCTCAGATTATGTCTTTGGGAGCCAGGAGGCGATCCTTGGAGCCTCGTCCATGCCTCTCCCAGGCACGCTGTTCCTTCCCAGGGTGGGACTGCATGTGGCTTCTCTGTCCCGTGCGTGGCCCCATGCCAGGTGCCAAGTGAACGCTCTTAGCAGATGATGGCAGGCCTGACGCTCTTCCTGCTGCTTGAAGACCCTCGGGAGAGGAGAGCCCTCTGAAGGTTTCCGTGTCAGGGCTGCGCATGATGCAGGTGGCTTCCGCTTTCTGCTGGCTCTCCCTTACTCACCCCGCAGATTTTCCTCGGGGCTGGCCATTCTCATCAGTGGCTGATTCATGGCACAGTTATCCCATTGGGAAAGATGTAGGTGGGTTGATGACATTTTCCTCTATGGTGCAGAGTTCACAATTGTGTTGGAAGTCGGGAGCCCTGTGCTTTCCTAGGGCTGGGTTCTCCTCAGGCTCTGTCCGGGTCTCACCATGTGACCCTGGTCAAGCATCTTTCTCTGAGTGGCCATCCTGAGGCATTGAAATTTCCCAGCCATTCTAGGGAGCCAGAGGAGCCCGTGGGCACAGTCAGCTAGCTGGTTGTGGGCAGGCTGCGAGTGGACATTCCCCGGCCGGCCCCACCCCCAGCTGCTGTGGCGTCAGCTTCCGTGTACTGTCCCCATCACCGCCTCTCCCTTCAGCGTCATGACCACTTCTACCAGCTCTATCCGCTCTACCACCATTACCTTCACGGCCGTCAGCCCCACCCTGGCGGCCAGGACGGAATGCGTCACCAGTGGTCCCACCGCCACCATCACTGTGGGCCGCCCGCTGCGGCCGCCACGCCTGCTCCAGGGCCCGAGCCTTACCTTGCCCACATAATGGGGCAGCGAGGTGTTTTTCTCTTCATCAATGTGCATCTGGTTCCAAATCCAGTCCCTCTTCTGGCGCCGGTGGGTGGGCAGCAGGCCCGGGGAGTCCGGTCGGGCAGGGCTGGTGGCCGCCGCAGTTGCCACCAGCAGGCCCAGGCAGGTGCCCGCCGAGGCGATCAGCAGCAGGAGCACCTGCATCTCCTGAGAGGCACCGATCTGGGGAGAGAGAGGAGAGCCCCCCAAGGCGTGGCGTCACTACCCTGGCGCGTGAGCAACTCCCTGCTGCCGACGGAAGGTCCCTCCTGTGTTCGCTCTGTTGTCCTTTCCTCTCTGCTGATGCCGTTCCTGCCCCCAGATCGCTCCCGGTCTGGGAGAGGGAGGCAGACACAGAAACACCTCCTCCTCAAGCGTCACATGTGCTGGTGTGGAAGTGAGCGCAGGCGACCGTGGAACCCTCAGGAGGGCTGGAGGGAAGGTTTCCTGGAGGAGAGGGTGACGCTGATGCTGACGGTAGCTCCCAAAGCCCGGTGCCGTGGGCGCCCCGTAACCCTCCTTTTACGCACGAGAGGTTAAGTCCACACCGGAGCGGGTGGTGGGGCTGCAGTAGAGCCTTGGTGTCTGACCTCAGCAGCTGTCTCTTACCAAGTACTTCTTACCAGCCTGACCCCGTTCCCAGCACTTGACGGGTGTCATCTCATTTAATTTTCCTAGTTACTCTCGAAGTGGATATAATTATAACCCTCACGTGACCAATAAGCCGAAGAACAGAGGGGTTTAGTTAACATCCCCGAGGTCGCCTAGACAGTGAGCCCCGGAGCCAGGCTTGAACCAAGTCTGCCTGGCCCCGAAGTTCTTGTTTTTTCCCACTGCCCTCTCTTGTCCTAGCAGCTGCTGCGGGGTGGGACTTCAAGATGCCTCTGAACAAACATGCCCCCCGCCAGCACGAGAGCCCCTGTGGCCGTGTTGCTTTGATGTTGTCTTCAGAAAGCTCTTAGGAAACCCCAATGTCTTAACCCAGAGGGTCAGGCCCTCACCAGGCCCAGAGCTCACAGCTGGTGATCAGTTTAGAAACTGTCGCAAGAGCAGGAGTGGGGGAGGGCAGGGGATTGAGGGGCTGGGCTCACAGGACTGGCTTCACAATTTGTGGGGCCCAGTGCAAAATGGAAGCGTGGGACCCTTTGTTCAAAAAGTATTAAGAATTTCAAGATGGAGACAGAAGAATATGAAAGCAGGCATCAAGCGCAGGGCCCAGTGTGCTTGCAGACCCTAAAAGGCAGCCCTTGGGACAGGGAATCAGCCTGGACCTGAATCGTGGGTCACCCACAAATCAGAGCCTGGCTTCATCCTGAATTCTAGGAAGGGGGATTTTTCCCCACTGCCCTATGGTGGCTGAAGGCTGTGACTTTGGCTATTACTGTGCTCTCCCAACATTCACCCCATTAGTCTACTCATGCTGGGCCCCTGTGCCACTGTTCTGTGGCTCCTGGGTAAGTTCAGGGGCAGAGGGCAGGTTGGTGGGAGTGGGAACCAGGGCTCCTGCTTGGAAGGACCACTCACTGGATGCTGGATGGGAGGCCACCACCCAGGTTGTCCCCCACCTTGGCCCGAGGGAGAGCCCGGATTCTGAACATTACCGGAGGTTTGTAAACTCCAGTAACATTTCCTCTGAGACGCTGGCGCCACGCTGTCCTCAGTGAGGGCCCAGTATGTCTGCGCTGAGCTAGCCTGGCCTCTGGGTCTGCTGACCTTAGCATCTGAGGCCCCTACCCTGTAGTCCCTGCTGCTGGCCCAGGAGGAAGCAGGCTCCCAGGGTTGGGTGGGACAGAGCGCTGGAACATGCTCCAGAATGCATGTGCTGTGTGCCTGGGGAGAGGTTCTGGGTCTCAGTTTCCTCATTTGTGAGGTGGTGGAACTGGAGGAGGCTTGGTCTCCACTGAGGTAGGACATGGAGAGGGTAGCCATTTTAGGTGGGAGGAAGGCAGTGAACAAAGACTTGGGAAGGTTGGGCGTGCTGGCCAGGAAGCTGGTTCTGACTCAGGGGAGGTGGCCGGCATGTCCCTGCCCCAGCTTTGCTGGGCCCAGGCCTGGCGGGTCATTTCCTTTTTTGCCTACAAAGGAACTTTGAGTTTTGGTTCTTTCTTCCTCTCAAGTGAGAAGTGACTCAAAAATGAAAAAGTAGAACAAACAGAAGTGAAACTGAGAAACAAGGAGAGAGAGTCCTCAGGCCTTTAGACAGGATGGAGTGAGAACCCATGCACTGAGCCAAATGGGTATTGAGTGCCTACTATATGTGGGTTCTGTAATGGGCACTGGGGTACAACAGTGAGCAGGGCACATGGGGCCTGTCCTCAGGGACTGCACACTATAGTGGGAACACCAGGAAAATAAGCAAATATGGAAAACACCAGCTAGTGATACATTGGGGGGTGCAACAGAGAGAGGGGGTGGCTGACTAAGACTCTGAGATCAGGGGAGGCCTCTCAGAGAGATGACACTTCAGCCAGCATCTGAGTGTTAGTCTTAGGAATACCAGGGGAAGGGCATTCCAGGCAGAAGGATCAGCACATGCAAAGGCCCTGAGGTAGAAAACTGGTTGGTGTGCTTGAAGAAACAAAAGAAGTCCCCAGGTCAGGTAGAAATGAGCAATGAGGGGTGAGAGACAGGAAGAGGTGACCAGGTCAGTGTGGCAGGCTGAGTGACAGTCCCCCCAAAGATGTCCATGTCTGAATCCCTGGAACCTATGTATGTGTTATTTTCTATGGCAAAAGGACTTTGAGCAGATATGATGAAGTTAAGGATCTTGATATAGGGAGGCGGTCCTGGATTATGTGCACCATGTTATGCATAATGTAATTACAGTGTCCTTAAAAGATGAAGGCAAGAGGGTCAAAATTAGGTAAAAGGAGATGTGACAGTGGAGACAGAAATTGGTGTGATGTGCGGCCACGGACCAAGGAATGTGGGCGGCCTCTTGAAGCCAGAAAAGGCTATGAAATAGATTCTCCCCTAGATCTCCAGAGGAACGCAGCCCTGATTTTTAGCCCGCTGAAACCCCTGTCAGACCTCAGCCCTCCAGAACTGTAAGATGAAAAGGAAATAAATTGTGTTGTTTTGAGTCACCATGTTTGGGGTAGTTTGTTGGCTCAGCCATTGGAAATGGGTACTATCGGGTTGCATGGGGCCTTGTAGGGCAGCCTGGGGAGAGAGCTCTTCCTTAAGAGGGTGGGAGAGCGATGTGGTCTGATTTGCAGAGGTCGCAGCTGCACTGAGGAGATAGGCTGGGAGAGGGGAGACCCCGGGGTGGCGGTCACTGTCACCCAGATTGGGGTTAGGAGGGGAGGGCCCTGGAGTATGCTTCTGAGGTGGAGTGACCAGGACCTGCTGGGGCAGGGGATAGTGGGGTGAGGGATGAAAAGGAACCCTGGGCTGGCCCCTCATCGTGGCCTCTCCCAGGGCATCCCCCATTGCAGCACAAGCTTGGGCCTGGTCCCAGGGTTGATGCCCAGGCCCTGCCGCAGGCTCAAATCACAGCACCCTCTCCTTCCTGGAGAACATCATGCCCCATCTGTGTCTTCCCTACTCCCCAAGGCCAGCCACAAGTCACACATAAATCTTTCCTCTTTGGGCTCAGGCGGCGTGGGGTGATGGTCGCGGGCTCTGTGGTCTTCGTGTACCTCAGCTGCACTGCTTTGTCACTGCATGACTGTGCACAAGACGCTTTACCTCCTGGAGCCTTGGTTTCACCATCTGTGCAATGGGAACACTAGCATCTACCTCTCAGCGTTGTTTTCAGGCCTGAATCCAAAAGTATTTGTGAAAAACAGTAACAATGAAACCAAACGTGGACAAATCCTCTCTGACACTGGTTCTGCTTCACTGAGTAGTCGATTTACCATTTTATTCCTTGACACCCAGTCGTCAGGCTGGAGATTTGCGGGTCCCCACCCTGCCAGGTCTCCGCCTCTTGCACCGTCCCTGTGCTCTGCTCTGTGTCAGGGGGTCTGACCCTGGGCCTGACTCCTAGTGTTTGGCTACCAGGGGCTCCAGCAGGAGCTCTGAGGATGGGAGGGGAGAAGTGGGGGATATTTCTTCCCCGTTGCTCTCTGTTCTGGTTTGCATCTCTTGCTGTGGCTGCATCTGTCCATGCTGGCAGCTCCTGTTAGGCAGCACCCCCCGGTTCTGTCCCTTACTGGGTTCTGGAAATACGCCTCCTCTTTGTGCCTTCAGCCCTGGGGTGCTTACAGCTTCCCACTCTTGCTGGTTTCTGTATGCCTCAACAGCCCGTTTGTTCCCTTAACATGCTCACAGCTCTGTAGTACTTCCTTCATAGAGACCCTGCGTTTGACACCCCCCCCCCACCCCCCACCCCAGGTAACTTCTGTTTCCTGCTGGGACCTTGTCTGATACAGCAGACAGGAGCATGGCTTTCTCTTGGCTGGGACCTGAGTGGATGGGCTAGTGGTCTCAGGGCCAACAGCTGCCATCATCCAAATGAATAACCAAGCTGGACTTAAGTAAAGCAGAGGCCACCAGTCACAGGCTTTGGCCACATGGCTCACAGGGGACATTAACTCCTTGGTGGGTTTTGGCTGGCTCCACACACACACTGTTCTCTGGACGTGCAGAAAAGCCCCTTGGATTCTAGTCTCTGTCCAGTAGAGGCCCTGCTATGGGCCCTGGAGAGAAATCCCTTGACACACAGGATTGGGCTCCCAAGGTCACCCCACATCACTGGTGTGTCACCAGTGTGGCAGGGGGAGAGTTGTGTGTGCTCAGCTCCTTGTCAGCAAGCAGTGAGCGAGGGGGCAGGCCTTTGGAGATGAGGATCATATAATCCCATGTCCATCCGCATGCTTACCCTGGAGTGCCCTCTCAAGCCAGCCCCTTCTTGCCTGGGGCGGTAGAATGGGGTTGACAGCCCTGAGCATGTCCTCGGTGCTGTGTGCTATCTCATTTAAACCTTGCAGACTACCAGATAGCTGGCAGTAATCCCCCTGTGCGGGTGAGGCTCAGACAGGTGGAGTGAGTCATCCCGGGTCATAGGGTGGCAAGAGATGGAGCCAGGATTTGAACTGAGGCTGCTTTTCACCCCAAATACTGCACTCCCCACTGTGTTGCCCTCTGACCGACTCTTTGAAGACACTCACATGTAATGATAATAAACAGTTATCCTCCATGCTTAGCATGCTTAGCTTTCATAGATGCTGTCTCAGTTG